ATTACAAGGATCTACATGTGACCTCCTCCCTGGGGGACAGACAAGAGAAAAGTGGGTGAAGTGTAAGTGTTGGCAAGGACATAAGGAAATTAGAACCTTCATGAATAGTGGTGGGAATCTAGATTGGTGCAGCTGCTATGGAAAACAGTTCATAAGTCCCTCAAAAAATTGTGTGGATTTACCACGTGGCCTAACAGTTTCACTCTTGGTAGTATATACCCAAGATAATTGAAATGTTTACAGAAAAACTTGTACAAGAATGTTATCTATAATAACCAAAAAGAAGAAATAACCCAAATGTTTACCATTTGATGAATAGATAAATGAAATATGGTATGTCCATACAATGGAATACAATTAGTAAAAGAGAAGCACTGCTACATGCTACAACACAGGTGAACCTTGAAAACAGTATGCAAAATGCAGTAAGCCAAACACAATAAGTTACATTGTATAATTTCATTTATTGTGGCATGTCTAGAATAGGCAAGTCTGTAGACATAGAGGGTAAATTGGAGGGAAAAAGAGAATTGGGAGTCACTACTAGTGGGCACAGAATGTATTTGGGGGATATTGGAAATATTCTGGAGTCATATAGTCATGAATTAAATAATTGCATAATTGTGTAAATATACTAAACACTGCTGAACTTTGAAAAGGGTAAATGGGAGCCACACAGGAAATAAGCCGCTGGTGAATTCCCTCTGTGCACAATTGAGGGATGGGAGGAAGGTGGCTGTTAAACGTGCATTGGAGAATTGAGTATGGAAGAGCAAAGCCATAAATCTGACTTGAACAGTTCAAACTTTGTCAGTTGACTGATGCCCCCTCTGAAGCTGCTGGACTGATCTGGTTTTCAGCATTTTCTATAGTTTTGTTTTGTTCCGTTCTGTTTATTCGTATTGGGGGGTATCTCAGAGGAGTTAGGTCGTTAGGTCACCCTCACGAAGTTGTGCTTTATGTTTTCCTGTGTTTTGAAACATGAAACCCAGGACTGATGAGCCTACAGAGACAGCACTTAGACTAAGGGTTTCGGGGTGTGTGGAGTGGGTGGGGCTACAGTGGGGTGGGGGTGGGAGTGTAAAAAGGAGTTCAGGAAGAAAGAGAATGTTGGTAGCAATTGTACAATTCTGCTTGATGTGATTGAACTATCTATGATATATGTATTATTTCCCATTTAATAGTTTTAAAAAAGAAAAATAAATAAGTAAAATTTTTTTTTTAAAGAAAAGAGTAAATGACCTCCTTTGTGGGGGGGTCAAACAACCCTTTCACAGGGGTCACGTAAGACCATTGGAAAACACATTTCTTTTTTTTTTAAATAACACTTTATTGGGAGCTCTCATAATTCATATCACAATCCACACATACATCCATTGTCAAGCACAATAGTACATTTGTTGCCATCATCATTCTCAAAACATTGGTTTTCTACTTGAGCCCTTGATATCAGCTCCTCATTTCCCCCCTCCTTCCCTGGCCCCCACATGAACCCTTGATAATTTATAAATTATTATTATTTTGTCATGTCTTACACTGTCCAACATCTCCTTTCACCACTTTTCTGGGAAAACACATATTTCTGATGGTTGGGGATCACCACAACATAAGGAACTATATTAAAAGATCCTGGCATTAGGAAGGTTGAGAACCACTGGGTTTTTGGTATTTTTTCTTTTTTTGTTTTTTTAATTGTTTTCATACAACTCTTATCACAATCCATACATACATCAATTGTGTAAAGCACATTGGTACATTCATTGCCTTCATCATTCTCAAAACATTTGCTCTCCACCTAAGGCCCTGGCATCAGCTCCTCATTTTTCCCCTCCCTCCCCGCTCCCCACTCCCTCATGAACCCTTGATAATTTATAAATTTTTATTTTGTCATATCTTGCCCTGTCTGCCACCTCCTTTCACCCATTTTTCTGTTGTCTGTCCCTCAGGGAGGAGGTTATATGTAAATCCTTGTAATTGGTTCCCCTTTTCCAACCCACCCTCCCTCCACCCTTCCAGTATCAACACTCACACCATTGGTCCTGAAGGGATCATCTGCCCTGGATTCCCTGTGTTAGCAGGAGAACCACTGTTTTAAAGAGATCTTGTGCACTAGATTTACCCAGTGCAATAAGTAATTTGATTTCTTGAAGAAGTCTCACTGAGGTGCCTCTGAAAAGAACAGCAAATAGTTGGATCTCATATGGGCCCTGGAACCGCTCAGCTTAGGCCCAACTTATACTTGCTCTTATAAACTTTTTTTTTTTTTTTTTTCCTCGTAGGAAAACTTGATTGGCGCCTTGCTGGCAATTTTCGGGCACCTTGTGGTCAGCATTGCCCTTAACCTCCAGGTAAGTTCTAGGCACCAGCACTAGCCAGGGCAGTGCTTATAAAGGAGATCAGTGCGCGTATCTTGACCCAGTCGCGCTGCCTCTTTCTTTTCTTTTTTTTATTTTATTTTATTTTTTGAGCTGCCTCTTTCATATGGAACGTTGCCTGCTCGGCTCTGGGCTGGACTTGGGATCGCTCCTTGGTCCTGTGCGCTGCTCTTCATCCGCTCCATCACGCTCTCTCTCCTGTTGAGTTATCACAGTGGCCTCCCAACTGACATCCTATTTGCCTTCCACAGCGCTACCCAGAATTCTTCTTTTATAAGCTTAACCCTGTAGCAGATGCTCCCCTCTCTCTTTGGCCTAGCTGAGTTCACCTGCCTCTGTGGATTTGAGCATCCCTGAGGTTGCTCAAACGCCAACCCTGAGGATGAGGCCCAGGCCGCTGTATTTCCTCACAGCTTCCCAAGAAACTTTTAAGATTCCCAGTCAGCTTGAGCGCTACTGTCTTAGAATAACAATTCCGTACAGCCCTTGGGTTACAAACATGTTTTATAAATTTGAAGCACTTCAACCAGCCCCTCCTCACTTCAAATTCTTTATCAAGATCACCTTCACTTACTGCACCTGCCACTTTTAAATCAGCCCCAAACCTTCAAGCCTTTCCTTGTACTAAAGACGCATATGCACCTGTTCTGACTTCCTATGAATTCTGGAAGACACAGAAGTGTCTTGTTCATACCCTGGGGACGGCCTGTATTCGGGGTGCAACTGCTTTATTCTTATCTGAAGACACCAACGAATCTTAACACGTTTCCCCAAATTAAATATTAACGTGGGAGCAAGAGGATGTGTGTGTGTGTGTGTGTGTGCATCAACTCATTTCTTCCCAAGCCAGCTGGGCAAATCAGACTCTCTCTTGACTTTCTAGAAATACTGTCACATCCGCCTGGCGGGCACCAAGGATCCCCGGGCCTATTTCAAGACGAAGACATGGTGGCTGGGCCTGTTGCTGATGCTTCTGGGCGAGCTGGGCGTCTTTGCCTCCTACGCCTTCGCCCCTCTCTCCTTGATCGTGCCTCTCGGTGCGGTCTCTGTGATAGGTAAGCCCAGCCCCCCACTCCCCCTTGGCTCCAGGTGACACCAGGGTGTCACCACCAGGGTCAAAGATAGCATTAAGCCAGCTCTTGCCATGTTAGGGCTCCAGATTACCAGGTTCCGCTCTAAGCACTTTGCAGATGTTACATCATCGAATCCACCCAACAACCTCCTGAGGGGAGGTGCCGTTTTTAACCTGTTTTATAAATGAGGCCCAGAGAGGTGGAGTGACTTACCCAGAGTTACACACATGGTGACTCTGTACTCTGTATCCTTCAGACATCATTAACCAGTTGTAACACTCCTTCCCAGCAAGCCTAGATGAGGCCCCTACCAGTCTCCTCCCAAACCAAACCAAACTCACTGCCGCTGAGTCGATGCCAACTCATAGCGACCCTTCACAGGAAGGGAAGCCCAGTCCCCTGACCTTGGCAAAGAGCAGAACCCTATTTGCTTTCCTTGGTGCATGGACCCTCTTTCTCTGGTACAGGACCTATAACCTGGCAGCCCACGTGATGAGCAGTCCGTCTTGAGGGTCTTCTTCACTGACCCTCTACTTTACCAAGCATGGTGTCCCTCTCCAGGGCTGGTCCCTCCTGATGCTGTGGAGCTGGCCCTCTTAGTTACATTTGTCTTCCCACTCAGCCCCTGAAAGTCTTTATGTGTGTGCTCTTCTCTCTCTGTTTCACCAATTGCTGGTAAACCCTTGCTCCCCGGCAAAGAATGCGTGACTAAGTGCTCAAACGATTTGTCGTTGAATGTTAATAAGGATCAAGTCATCACATTCTTAAAAAGAAGGGGCTGAATTTTAACGAAGGGACTTCAGCCATTGGAAATGAAGGGTTCGTAGAGCCTCTGAAAGAGCCAAGTGGTGCTGTCAGGCAAGCATTGGGCTGCTAAGTGGAGGCGGGTGATTGAAGCCCACCAGCTGCTCCACAGGAAAAGGCTGAGACTTCCTGCCCCTGGTAAGATGTACAGGATTAGTCAGAATCAGCTCGGGGGCAGTGCTTTGGGTTTTTAGAACTTCTAAAATCCCCGATGAAAAATAATGACTTATTTATTGGGGGCCTATGACTTAGGCAGCTCAGGGCGGCGCAAATGGTGATTCCCCCAACTACAAACTGAAAGGCTGGTGGTTCAAACCCACCCAGAAGTGCCTGGAAAGAAAGATCTCAGCCTTGAGGATCCTGTAGAGCTGTTCTCCTTGGCACCCCAGGGATCACCAAGAGTCAGAATCGACTCGAAGCCGCCTTTTTTATGTAGTCCCAGCTCAGCTGACAGCATTTACTGTGTGCATGCATCAGCTCACTTAATCACCTTCGTAACTCAGAGCAGTAGGTCTCTTCGGGTATAGTCTGATAAGCAAGCTCTCAGAAAGGGGGGAGCAAGAAGGAAGGAGGGAAAGGTAGAGAAGGGGGCGGAAAGGAGATGCTAGTTTGTTGTGCTTCCCAATGTCCCTGGAGTAAGCAGTCCCCCCGGCCGATTTCAAACTCCCAGTGGTTTCCTGAATGTGTAACCATCAGCAGGATGGACATGTTGCAGGTTTCATAGACTAGGGAATTGAGCCTCCGTGGAGTGACTTGTCCAAGGACACGCAGTCAGAGAGGCCACGTTCGTGTAGTAACTCTCCAGGCCTATCGCCTTCCTCGGGGCTCCCTCTGTCCGCTGTCACTGCCAGCCCCATCCTGTAGGGCACTCAGTAGGGAGCTTGAGTCAGGGAGAGAGAAACAGGGAAAATGCCACAGGGATGCGTTGCCATGGAAGGACTAAGAGGCCTGCCATCCACCAGCCTGGGTTCAAGTCTCGCCTTTCCTGACCAGCTGCGTGATCACGGGTGTGTTCTTGACCACCCGGCCTCAGTGTCCCCAAGGTCATGTGGGGTGAGAAGAGCACTCACCTCAAAGACTAGACCTGCCGTGATGATTTATATATGTGGCCTGATGCACAGCAGACGCTCAGCCCTGGGTGCTCCTGACGCTGCAGGCAGCCGGAGGGGACCATTCCTTTCCCAGATGGAATGCCAGAAGGACCTGAAGGGAGAGGTGGGGAAGAAACGGGATCCAGTGCAAATGATCCACCCAGAGGCTACGGGGTGGGGGGCGCGCAGGGTCTGACAGCAGCCTCAACTCTCTGTGCTTGTTTGTTTTTAACAGCGAGTGCCATCATAGGAATCATATTCATCAAAGAAAAATGGAAGCCGAAAGATTTCCTGAGTAAGTCCAGTGAGCTGAGCCCTGTCATTAACGTTAGGCTTGTGCTTTTTCTTCATTGTGAAACAACTCATCCCAATTTAGAGATCTTCAGTCCTCCACACCTCTCAGCCCTTCTCTGTTCCCGCCTCCTCGGGGCCCCTCAAAGTTGGGTTTTTAAGTCCGAGGTTCCCAAACCATCAAAATTATCACTAATGCTTTTTAAAGGGAGCCTTTGTTCATTCCCGTCAACCAATATTTGCTCTGCATCTTTTGTTGGGATTTTAGAAGGCCCAGAAAAGGCACTTTTCTTCCCTGAGAACTGAAGTGATGGGAGGTACACACAGACAACAGAGCTAGGAGATGAGAGGTTATGCTTTATTATTAAAAGTGCAATGGGAGCACGTAGCTTACCTGTGCGGCCAAATGAACCTGATCACGCCCCCTCTCAGTACACCTCCACACTCAGGCTACACCTAGGGGCAGCTCTCCCCAGAAAACATTCGGATTTACAGAGCGGATTCATCCAAAACTACTACCTCATATAGTCCCGGGTGTCAAAGGAAGAAGAGAGAACGATGCCTCATTCTTAAATTCTTCCTATAGGTTTCACTCCAGCCAGTGGCCAAGGTAAACCAATAGAGTAAAGGCAGACGTGTCCCCTAACGGTGGTCCCTCCACGTGGAACTTGTGCAGTGGGAAAGAAATCTCCCCCCAAGACATCTACTAATTGTCGAGCTTTATTGTAGCTGCCAGGACGCACAGATGAGATGTCTGTTCTCACAGAAGATTACAAGCTAGGATCGGTGGCATCCGATAAGCAAATGAACAACTATATAAAGTAGTTTTAGGTCACAGAGGGCTTTAGAAAAAATAGAATGTTTCTTGGTGGAGGATTAGGCAAATGGGGCTACTCTCTGGAGTGGTGACTTTTGAACTTAGACGGAAATGATACTAAGGAACCTGGCATTTGTCTACAAACAGTCAGTGCCAAGGAGATTGGCATCAGTGTTTGTCTACCGAGTTTTTCATGTTGAAGGAACAGATGCAAAGGCCCTGAGGTCGGAGTGAGTTTGGTGTCTCCAGTATCGGCAAGACCAGGATAGTTGGCGGGTGACAGAAGGGATGAAGGACGGTATAAGATGAGGAAGGCATGACAAACTAGATGATGCCGGACCTGATGAGCCAGGACGTTACAGGGTGGTGTGCCCAGGCCCTACCCTCGAGATTAGAGACCTGGGGTGAGAGCAAGGCAAGTACATCTGATCAAGTCCCTCAGAGTGAAGTTTAGACTGAGGTCTGGACCTTGCTTTGAATAAGACCTCCCCCTGCCTGAAGGAGTTTGGGACAGTAGCTTTATGTATCTTGGCACATAATTTACTCTGTTGGATTTAATGATGGTTCATTCAACGATTGCACAACTCAGGTTTGAGTACCTCTGACATGTACGAGTTTGAGTGCTGAAAAATAATATACATTGTATTACAATAATATAGCATTGTAATTTTTTGAGACAGTAGGATAAAATAGGTTCAATCAGAACTCTCCTAGAAAAATCCAGTGCCCTTTGGTCCCGTAAGTACAACTCAAAACTCTCAGCCCTTTTCAAACTGCCTGGGTCTCAGTCGAACCGAACCGCAAGAGGGTTTTCACCAACAGATGGTGCTGGGCCAGCCCGGTGAGCGTCCACAGGGAAGAGGCAGGAAGCTGCTGTCCTTCCCCCAGGAGATCTCTTGGACCACTAACAGACTCCGAGACCGCCTGTAGATAGTTCCCTTAGGAGTAGATTCAATAGCCAGTTGGTTACGGGTTAGGTAATTGTTTAAAAGGTGTATGGTAGACTCTGAAGGTTTACTTTCTCTGTGTCAGCTGTTGGTTGGTTAGTTTATTTTTAAGCTGGCCCGTAAAGTGGTTACAATGGGGACCTGTCCCTTGCTAAATGCACGGTGTAGAACCACCAGGCCGCACCAGACACGCACCAGACCTCGTGCTGAGGAGGGTGCAACCAGAACACTCGTACTCCACCTGCTGGCTGGAGTGTGAATTAGCACAGCCGCTTTGGTACACCGTCTCACGGGAACCACACACAGCCTGCCACCCACAAGTCCACTCTTCCTTTATACTCAGCAGAGAAATACCCGCATACGTTTCTCCAAAGACATGTGCAGCAAGTTCATATCAATGTCATTTCTACTCAAATGCCCATCAGTAGTGGGGTAGATAAAAAAGGGTGTCACAGTCCCTCCGTGGAACACTACACAGCAGTGAGAATGCAGGAACACACCACAATCCAGATGAATCGCAGACACATAATGTTGAGTGAACAAAACAACTACTGAATGAACCTATTTCTATAACGTACAAACACAGGTAAAACTATGAGTGTTGTTAGTCAGTCAATGGTTGCACCATTGTCAACACTCGTTCTACGTGTTGGTCTTTTCTGCTGTAGAATATCATCCTGGTATTGTGCTGTGCATTCAGTATGCACTGGAAGGACGGGGGCCTTTTGCGAGGCTGGTAATGTTCTCTTCCCTAATCCAGGTGTTGGCTACCTCACTGCACGCCCTTTAGACAGGTCATCCAGCATTTTTTCACATGTGTTATGCGTCATTGAAGTTCTTTTAAAAAATTAAAGAAGATAGCCTGTTGTAAAGTTAAAAATAAAAAGAGCAGTTGATCCTGTGTTGCTCTTCCATGGCTGAGAGCACATCTCCTGCAGCAGCGAGGCCTCTGACAGCCTCTCCCTTTCCTACCCTGCAGGGCGCTATGTCTTGTCTTTTGTTGGCTGTGGTTTGGCTATCGTGGGCACCTACCTGCTGGTGACATTTGCCCCCAACAGCCATGAGAAGATGACAGGCGAGAACATCACCAAGCACCTTGTGAGCTGGCCTTTTCTCCTCTACATGGTGAGCGAATCTTCTGGTCCTTCCACCTGAGATGGCAGGAGCAGGGATACAGTGCCAGAAACCGGAAGCTTGAATACTCATCCACAGGGGATCCATGAGCCATGTCATACTCAGACACTGAAGAGCAGGCTGCAGGGAGTACATGGTTCACGAGGAAAAATGCTATTTTCATTTATGTTGTGAGTCATGTCTATAGTGGAACATGTAGTAGGATGCTGATTTTACTTGTGTTTGTTTTATTAGAAATACAGGTGGTATGTATACATAATGCATCTATAAAACACTGATGGAGAAGCACAGCTGTGGTTTCTGGGAGATCGAATTATGACAACAGTCTTACTCCCTCTCTTCTGTCTTTCATCCAAACTTTATACAGTGACCACTGGACACTTTATGATGAGGAAAAAAGTTACAGTTTTAAGCAATCATAGAATTTTAGTTGATCCTACCTAATAGCACACAGCTGATGGAAACGCAGTCCCACCCAGAGTCCAGTCCTTTGCTCCAATTCTGTAGTTCTGCAAATAACTAGTGAACAATACCATTCATATCACACATGAGTGAACCGTTGCTGAAGACCACTCAGTACGTTACTAGGGAGCTGCGAGCTGTTCAGGCTGGATTCAGAAGAGAGTGTAGAACGAAGGAAATCTTTGCTGACACCAAAGAAAAATGTTTGTGCGTTATTGATTGTGCAAAAGGATTTGAATATGCGGATCATAACAAACTATAGATCGCGTTGAGAAGACTGGGCATTCCAGAGCAGTGTCTTGTGTTCCTGCAGAACCTGTGTGTGGATGAAGAGGCTGTTGTTAGACCAGGACACGGGACTGCTGCATGGGTTACTATCGGGAAAGGTGTGTGTCAGGATTGTGTCCTCTCACCATACTTACTCATTCTGACTGCTGAGCAAACAGAGAAGCTGTCCTGGTTGAAGGAGAACACAGCCTCGGGATTGGAGGAAGGCTTATGAACAACCTGTGATGTGCTGGCGACACGACCCTGCTGGCTGACAGTGAGGGGGGCTGGAAGCACTTGCTGATGCAGATGGAGGACTGCAGCCTTCAGTCTGGATCACAGCTCAGTGTCAAGAAGACCCAAGTCCTCCCAGCTGTCGAAGAGCAAGGATGTCACTTTGAGGACTAAGATGTGCCCGACTCAAGCCATGGCATTTTTTAATGCTTTCTTTTTTTAAGTGTTATTGCCATTTGGTCCACATATCACAAAATACAATTGTTTAATCGTGACAAGAAGAGTTACACAGTCATCACCACAATCGATCTTAGAACATTTTCTCCGTGCCCCCGCCCCGCCATGGTTAAATCACTTTAAAATTGAGTTGTGTGATCACCTTCAGTTCTGGAGAGTGCTCCTTCCCCCCTCCCACAGACTTCATTTGCTCCCTCAACCCCCTGACCCTCCGCGCCCCCCTCCCCTATAAACCCTGTGCCTCTATTCCTGCGCTTCACAACCGAAACAGTGGAAGGCAAAGCGCCGTGGCCTGCCAAAGAGCCAACAGATCTGTCCTGGAACAAGTACATCCTGAACACTCCTTAGAAGAGAGGATGGCGAGGCTTCGTCTCGCATACCTTGCACATATTAGGAGAAACCTGCCCCTGGAGAAAGACACCAAGCTTGGTCAAGTGGAGGACAGTGCACAAGAGGAAGACCTTCTACGAGCTGGCTGACAGAGCGGCTGCCCCCATGGGCTCAAACATGACAATTGTGCAAGTAGTCTGCTCTGACAAGGATCCCATTAGAAGGCCCTGGATAGAGTGGGAGGGAAATGTGGAACAAAATTCAAAATCATAGAAGAGCCCCGGTTTACCGATCCACAGAGACCGGTGGACTCTCCAGGGCTATGGCCCGTCGTCACCCTTCAGGTGTAGAACTGAACTCGCCTTCGCGTTAGGAAACCCGACCACTAAAGATCAAAAGGGCAGCATTTACCCAAGAACACGGTCCAAGAGGCAAAGGAATGGAGCCACAGGGAGGAGGTGCAATCGGTGATGTTACATTGAGGAGATTGCAGTGGGTGGCTTGAAACCAGATAGAGTATGAATTGTTGGATGCAAAACTGATAATACGCTCTAAACTCTCGGCCCATTCACACACCAAAAAGGGGTCTTTGTTTGTTTGCTTGCTTGCTTGTGTTTAAAGTGGCAGCAGCAGAATATAACCTAGGACGTGATGGGCGCTCAGTCAGTGCCTGGGCTTGCATTCCTTGATCACGACTGCAAGGCACTGCTGCCAGCTAGAGAGATGTGGCCAAGTCGAATTCAGGAAGTAGCTAGCAGGTGTTTGCTCTGTGTCAGAAACTGGGTGTAGCAGAATAAGTGAGGCACACTCACAGAACTCACGGTTTGTGGAAGAGACCAATAGTCGGTTCCGGTTTTGGGTGGGAGCTATGTTCTATTATGTCACTACATTATAGACTGGGTTAGGTTCCCATCAGCTTCTGGCAACACATTTTTGCCAGTGGATCAATACATAGCCTAGTTTTATGTGTGTTTTTGCTTAAAGACAACTTATTTTAATATATAGGTAGCTCACTAACATCACATTCGCATTTAGCAGCACTGTAATTCATGCCTGGACAAAGCTCTCTCACAGGGATCCCCAGAGTGGGCACACTGCCCCCCTGGGGGACTCTGGAATGATCAGGGGCCACAGAAGCAGGCCCTGTCCTGTATCCTGATGATGAACTGTAGCACAGAGGGTTTCAGTTACCAGGAGGTGCTGAGTAATTTTTTTTTTCCTGAGAAGGAGCAGTAGGCCACATAAGTTTGGGAACCTCTGATCTAACACATGTAATTTTTCTGTAAGGTGCGTCCCAGTCGCCTTGCACTTAGGAATACAAAGCAGCACTTCTGGGCCATTTCAAGCAGCAAAATAACTAACAAAGAGCACAAAGGTGCAGAAAGCATGACACTTAAGTAGACCACGTAAAGGACACTTTACAGCCTGAGGACGGAAGCTGGAAGCCCGGATGTCCATCCATTCTTCAACCTCAGCTGGGAAGGAGTAAGCTAAGCAGTTTACATGGCTCACTGCTTGGCAAGTGTTGGTCTTGGGGTTACAAGTTACTTTTGGCAAGTAGTTGGTTATGCACGAGGCTGCTAACCACAAGTACAGCCATTCGAACCACTAGGCACCGTGTGGGAGAAAGGCTTTCTGCTCCCGTAAAGATCTGCAGCCTCGGAAACCTGAAGGAGCCATGCTCCCGGCCCAGGGGCTCTCTGGGTTGCAATGAACTCGGTGGCACTGACTTTGGTTTTGTCCAGAGGAAATTTGCAACTGCAGAATCCATGAATCTTAAGGGATGCCTTGAAAATGTAGCTGTCTTCTAATACTACCCAGCATTCGTGTAAGTGCCAGGAAAATCACCAAAAAGTTGGAGCCACCTGAGTGCTTGTACAATGGCTGGGGATGTTGAGTGACCGTCTGCCGGAACATGAAAACTCTGTGTGTTAACGAAAGAGGGGCCAATGCGAACTTACACTTTGACTACGGTGACAGCTAGATCAACTTTGTATTCACTGGCACAAAGACAAGGAAGAAGCAGGATAATGAAAACCGCTGTGTCTTATGGCACTCACATTATGAGTACTTTTCCTTGGATTCTTTTCATAAGGCTCACAAATGTCTCTGTGTTGGTTTTTGTAATAGACTGTGGTAGGGGTGGGGAGGCACGTGGAATAAGCCACTGTCGAACTTTTCTGCTTTGTTTTCCTGGCTGGGGGCTCTCTTAACTTCTTGGGAAAGTAGTGGCAAATGTTTGGGGTGGTAAAGGCTAAAAAGGGTAAGAAAACAAGTTGTTCATGGAAATAGGGACGCTTCTCCAACTTTAGGCTTGCCAGTGTCTGATTATAGGTTTCTACGGAGTCAGTGCCTTCTAAACACCAGGTGCTGTGTTTCAAATCTTCCATGTAGCCGCCTAAGAAAATGCAGGTGCTCTGGAGCCAGGCTTAGCAGGTTCAAGTCCTGACTCTGCCATTACTCACTTGGGATTGTGTTAGTCCCTACGTTTTAGAATTACTGTGCTGATTTAATGAGTTTTGTAAACTACTATTCACGTTGTCCACCATGGCACTGCAGGGTAAGAATCAGAGTCCCTAGTCACAGAGGAAAGGAACAGAGGTTCCAGTTGAAGACAGATCTAAGCTCAAACCTGGACCTCCCTAATTTCAATTGCCATCATCTTTCCACTCAGCCGAGCTGAACACCTGAAAGGCTTAGTTAGAGAGATTGGGGGGGTGGCTACTTGTACACTTGACGAAGTCTCCCTCCTCGGTGGATAAGGGTCTCCCTCTTTGGCCCAGTTTTAATGGGGTTCCCCATAGAACAGTGACAGCGGAAGACCAATCCCTTGAACCACAGCCATCCAAGATGGGGCGGCTATGAGGCCTTCTTGTGAGGGGATCGGGAACTTCCTTCTTGCTGGTTTAGACATTAGCATTTGACCCAAAGTTTCCTTTTCCACCACATGAGGATCTATTAGTCGTTTGGGAAATGCTCAATATTTCTATTTCCTTTCCACTCTGAGGGGCTATGATTTTCATAAACGGAGCGGCATAAGCTCTGGCCCAACCCACCGGGGTTGCCCAGTTTTGCCCATCTCTACAGAGCCTGCTGACACCCCCCCCCACCCACCCCCACCCCCCTGCTCCCCCAGCTCGTGGAGATCATTCTGTTCTGCTGGCTGTTGTACTTCTACAAGGAGAAGAACGCCAACAACATCGTTGTGATCCTTCTGCTGGTGGCGTTGCTTGGTAAGTCGGGGTCCAGGGGACTGGAAGTGGACTTGAGGAAACAGTGGGGTCGAGAGAAAGTGGACCTGCAGTAGGGAGACGGGGGGCGGGGCTGGGGCTGGGCCTGCAGCAGGAGAAGGGAGGTAGACCTGGAGGAGCAGCAGCAGCGGGACGTGGAAGTGGACCTGGAGCAGGAGAAGAAAGGTGGAGGGGGCCGGACGTGGAGCAGGAGACGTGGGGCGGGACGGGGGGAGGTGTGGACTTGGCGCCTGGTGTGTTGGGGGTCTGCTGCCGCCTCTTGGCGCCCCTGTACCTGGTATGGTTACTGTCCTTCTTTAAGCCTCATTTTCCTTCTCTGAAAATAGTCACAGGGGCACACGCACATCACAGACGGATGGTCACTGTTGATCTTGCTGTGGAGCCGGCCAGCACACAGTGACCCCACACACAGTGGGTGACACGCTGCCCAGGCTGCACCAGCACGTGAATCAGACTCTTGTCACCCATAGGGTGTTGACTGGAGCCCTGGGGTGTAGTGGTTACGTGTTGGCTTGCTAACCACGGTGTCAACCATTTAAACCCATCCGTCTGAACCACTGGGAGGAAGATGAGGGTTCCTTGAGCCCCTAAAGACTGACAGCCTCAAACCGACCGCGGCAGCTCCGTTCTGCCCTCTCAGGTTAGGAGGAGTCGGAATTGACTCAAGGGCAGTGGGTCGGTTTGCATTTTCGAAGTCGATCTCCAGGCCTTTCCTCTGCGTAGTCTGCCACTCCGCTGACAGCTGCTCAGCATCAGAGCTCCAGGCAGGCTTCCACCGACAGACAGTGAGGATGAAGCTCCCATACTGACCAGGCCTGTGTGTGTTTCCTAAGGCGCTTCCCATGGCAGCAGAGTATTAGGTGAAAACACTTTGAAAGTAAAGTAGCATGCATGTATGGGAAGTCTGTGCACATATACATGAGAGTGTGCATGCTAACATGTTTGCAGGTCTCTGGTCTCAAGAAATGTTTCTACAAACACGCGTGAGCTTAGAAAAAAAAAAAGAAAGACACCTGTACTCTTTACCCGGAGCAACCTTTCCCTGTGGTTGCTCTGAGAAGGACATACAGGGGAGTCCGTTGGCCCCTGCACACACAGGCCGTCTGGAATCCCACCGCGTTGCAGGCATGGCGCCAGGCACTCGCGGTCTCAGGGTCCTGCACGCCTTGCCTGTTCTCGGCAGAGCTGCGATGTGGCATTTCTTTAGCAGAGGATAGCCTGTCAGTGCATGGCTTGCTTCTCTCTGTGTCTGAGGGTGATGAGCACAGATACTGGGAGAAGTATAAAGGATCCGGCCCAGACAGTGTCTTCCCACTGTGTCAGCCACAGGGGGGAAGCTGCCAGTGTCGCCTTGTCTTTTCCTGCGAGGTCTTTGGGGCTGTGAATGCCGGGCGGGTCTGGCAGGCCCCATGCCCCCGGGCCTCCCGCATGCCCTTGTTCCGCAGGGTCCATGACGGTGGTAACGGTGAAGGCCGTGGCCGGGATGCTAGTGCTGTCGATACAAGGCCACCTCCAGCTGGACTACCCCATCTTCTACGTGATGTGTGTGTGCATGGTGGCCACCGCCGTCTATCAAGCCACGTGAGTCGAATGTTCTGTCCCTGCTGGGCCTCGTCTTGCAATCTCTGGAACATGCAGACTGACCCACTAGCACGAGGGTGTGGCATTCAGAGGGGAGCAGGATGCTGCTGGTGTGCCGAATTGTAGCCGGGAGGGACTTGGTCCCCATGGAAGTCTGGATTGGATGGGTTTGCTTTTTTCCCTCTGCCTGAACACATGAGACTATGGGACCAGAGGCCGCCACATTCCCCATCTCCTTCAAGGCAGGCATCCACATCAGGGACCCAGAAGACGCCATGCTATCACCGTGAGCTAGGTAGGAAAGGACAGGTGACATTTCTTGTCCTCAAGAATGTCCCTAAAATATTCCCAAGTCAATGAGCAACAAAAGAGTCCAAAAAGCAGCAATGTTGAGGTTGTCCAGCTATGCAGCAGGACTTCCTGCCCATCTCCCTCGCTGGGCTGGGTGTTCCCAGAGGCAAGGCTGAGCTCCAGTGCCTGCCAGGGAGCCTGGAGCAGAGTCGGGGCCCCTGAGTCTGGGATGCGACATGCCTGAGTGGGTACAGAAGAGGGACTTGCCTTGTACACACTTGCTGTGTGAGACCGATTTACCCTGCGAAGGTCAGAATCTGCACTCAGCCTCCCGTTCACCGCCAGCCAACTGCGAAGCCATGAGGCATCACTGGAGTAAGTGCCACGGTGGGCGTTCAGTGAGACGGAGGCTCTTTCCTCAGCGCTCAGCCCTCGAGAGGAGCCACCTCATCTGTTCCCTGTCACGCCCCCTTTGTATCTGAGGAACAGAGGCAGAGAGGTTAAGAGCCTAGGTAGTGCTGGAGCTGAGATTTGAGCCCAGGCACCTCCCAGCCCGTGGCCCTCACCAGTCTGTTCCACTGCTGCCTCCTCAGCTTCTCTGGGATATAGGTCTCGTTATGGTGAACACAGGTCTCGTTATGGGGCAGGGGGAGCAGCCTGGTAAACAGACCATGACAATCCACAGTCTTGGGTGTCGAGTTTTCTTGGCGTGGGCAGCTGTTCAGTGATCACTCAAATGGTTTAGCGTCGCAGAGGGAAAAAGCAAGAAGACATTCTGTAATGATGTCAGTGTGTGTCTCTAGATAGAAATTAATCCAACCCATGGTTATCGAGTCCATTCCAACTGACGGCGACCCTCACAGGACCGGGCAGAACTGCCCCTGTGGGTTTCCAGGACTGCAAATCCATCTTTCTCCTGAAGAGCAGCAGGTGCTCTTGAACTGCTGCCCTTGCTCTTGTACATCTTTAGAAGAGTAGACAGCCTCCCCTTTCTCCCAAGCAGGGCTAGGGGTGGGGGTGGGTCTGAACCACCAGCCTTGTGTTTACCAGTCCAACACCTTACCCACCGCGCCAGCAGGGCTCCTCGATGAAGACTGTTGTGGGAGCCATGGAGTTAGCGCCACCTCAGAGGGGCCCGCTACAGCCGGAGGAGACACTGCCCAGTCCTGCGCCATCCTCGCCATGGCTGTTTGAGCCCATTGGTGCAGCGCCTGCATCCACCCACCTTGTCAAGGGCCCTCCTCTTTGCGATACCCCTCCTCTTGACCCAGCAGGATGTCCTGCTCCAGGGCCCGGTCTCCTGGGAACGTGTCCAAGCACATGAGACAGTCTCGCCGTCTTTGCCTCGAGGGAGCATTCTGGCTGTCCTTCTCCCGAGACGGATCTGTCTGTTCTGTCGGTCTTGCAGTATTCTTCCCCAGCACCGACTCTTCTTCGCTGCGCCTTCCTCGGTGTCCGGCTTCCACATGAGGTGGTTGAGAACCGCAGTGGCAGGCATGCCTTCGCCCTCAGCGTGACCCCCTTGCTTTGCATCTCTCCACAGAGGTCTGTGCGGCAGATTTGCCCGACACAGTGTGTCGTCGATCTCCTGGTTGTGGATCCAAGCAAGAGGAATTCCTTGATAGACAGACTAGGATTAACTCCCTGTCATATATTTGTTATTGTAATCCCAGTTTTTTTAATGCAGAAAAAAATGATGACAGCACTAGACAGTGTGCTGTGTGTTTTGTTGGCACATGCAGGAGAGCAGGCATTGCAGGGAAGAGAAGACAGCACTTCAGGTGATGCGGCCACGTGGCCGGAGATGTGAGACCAAGATGGCACAGCCCACTTGGGGACAGTGTGTCTAGGGGAGAACGGAAGCCGGAGGCGCACGGTGTCCTGTAATGAGCGTGGCACTTTCACAGATCCAAGCAATGGTCCTGCATGTGCACCTTCCACCTCCAAACCCAAGTCTCCCTCCCTTCGTCAGACCACCCCTCTGCATCCCACCGTCCGCTGACCCGAGTGCTTTTGTCTTGAAGGTTTCTAAGCCAGGCGTCCCAGATGTACGACTCCTCTTTGATTGCCAGTGTGGGCTACATTCTCTCCACAACCATTGCAATCACAGCAGGTAAGGGGCCCGGCCGCTCATCTCCGCCTGCTCCCCTGGGACTGTCCACTTTCACGGAGAAGCCTGCCTGATCGGTCTCCTGAGGGCCGATCCACTGGTGACCTCCACCACCAGCCTTGCCGTTAGCAGCCCAGTGCTTACCCAGGGCACCGCCTGTTTCAGTTAAAAAGCAAGATGGAGAAGGGAGGGAGGCTGAGGGAAAGGAAACCGAGCATCTGCTCCCTGGTGGCTTTTCCTGCAGGCCTGTGCTGTTTTAGCAGGCACTGCCTTAGTGCTTGTTGGCCAGATTAGCCCTGGTGCAGGGGTGGTGGTGAAACCAGTCGAGCGCTGACCCTGGTGACTTGAGAGTGACTGGCCTGTGTTGTCTCCCCGTGGTGTTGCAGGCGCGATATTTTACCTGGACTTCATCGGGGAGGACGTGCTGCACATCTGCATGTTTGCACTGGGGTGAGTCCCGCCTGCTGCTCCCGGGCTTTGCGTGGGGAACTCCAGAGCAGGTGGCCACTGCTTCTCACGAATTACTTCAAAGGTGCAGACAGTCCTCTGTAGCCAGGCGGGGATGTGGAGCTCTGTCTCCAGAGGCAAGGGTCCTTCCAGAAGGGCTTCGTCTCCTCTGGGGCCTTAGGCTCCTTTAAGCTGAAAAGAAAAAGCACAACCTCACAGCTACTGAGTCAAGGCTGGCTCATAGTCGTCATTAAAATGCCACGTTCGGACAGATGAAAAGCCTCTCCTCGGTGGAAGACTCGCATACTGAAGCTGCGAGAGATAACCCCTTTTACACTCGTCGTTGGGTGAAAAGCCAGCAGGCAGATGAGACCGGCACTCTGTCCCTGTCATGTGGGCGGACAACTTGGGACTAACAGTAAAAAGTTGAAGTGAGCACGCTTTCTAAGCCCTCATACCATTTCTAATCATTTCTCTTAGGGGAAAACAGTTGAATGGAGACAGAAGAACACATTACAAGACTGTGCATTAATTTTAAAATTTGTATCAGCAAATAATCAGAAGTGAACCCCCAGTGGTAGAACCTGGGTTAGAGATCATGGCCTATCCCGCATGTTGCCTGTGAAACACCGAGGCCAGCCCAGAGATCCTGCCCGAACAGTGCCTCAAACCTCAACTCACTGCCCTCAGCTCAATCCCCACTAGAGTACATGAAATCGGGGGTTACAAGCGTTTTCAGTGTGGCTGCCTAATAACCCAGCAGCCCCACTTCTAGGTATATGCACACCCCCCCAACAAAATGAGTTTGCTTGTTGGTAAAAAATGGTTTGTACAAGGATATTTATAGTAACTTCACTCATAATCGACCCAAATGGGAAACAGCCTAAATATCTACCAACGGGAAAGCGGAGAAACACATTACAGCTATTCAGACAGTGGAATTCTACCTCCAGATTAAAAATAGTGAACTTCTAATACATTATCAGAATGGACGAATCTTAACATATATAGAGATCGGTGAAAGCATCCAGGCACAGGGACTACATTCCACTCACAAGGTGTTCAAGAGCAACACTAACCAAAAGTTGGGTAACAGCCCATCCACAGCTGCCTGGGTAAACAATGTGGTCAGTCCATTCAGTGGAGTATGGTTTACATGAAAGAGGAGGTTCTGATACATGCTACTACATGGACAAACCCTGAAAGTATTGTGCTGAGTGAAATGAACCAGGCAAAAAAGACGAGAACTGTATGATCCCGCTATTTGAAACACGTTGCTGTTAAACGCTATCAAGGCCGTTCTGAGTCACAGCATCTCCACCTGTGGGCGAAGGAAACGCTGCCCAGTTTGGCGCCATGCTCACCCTGGTTAGGTTTGAGCCCGTCGTTGCAGTTAGTGTCCTCTGGCTCCTTGGGGGTCTTCCCCTTTTCCAGGGGCCCTCTACGTTGCCAAGCCTGATGTCCCTCTCCAGGGGCGACTCCCTTCTCATAAAGCGTCCACAGAACGTGAGACAGAGTCTCGCCATCCTTGCCCCTTCCCACAGTGTCGTTGATCCCTCTGGCACCGAATAGGCAAATGCGCTCCCACAAAGATTAGTGGGTCCCAGTAGACGTGGGGAAGGGCAGATGGGCAGTTAAACAGCTCAAGAACAAGCAATTCTAACCTGTGGTGAGGGAAGTCAGGTAGCAGCTCCCTCTGGGGAGCGACTGGCATGGATTTGGGCACCAGGAAACTTTCTGGGTGGATGGGAATGCTTCCTCTCTTAACCTGGATAGTGATTGCCTGAGCCGTACACCAGGTAAAATCCATCCAGCCACAGGGTTTTGGGCATTCAACTCCATGTAAATTAGGCCTCCCTTCTTGGGAAGTTTGCGTGTTTGTAGAAGCGATAAGGACGCAGGGAAACGTCAAAGTGCCGGGAGAATGTACCCCGGCACCCACCTGGGGGTCGGGACTAGCAGAATACAGACCTTCCCAATTTGAACTGATGTTTACTTTCTAGAATTCGGTGTGGATTGGATTTAGGCATAAGCGTTCCTCATTTGTCTTTTATTTTTTTCTGCAGCAGAACCCAAGCCTAATTGCCTCATAGTGGGCTCTGAATCACAATGATACCAGGTCACGTGCCAAAGTAGAACCACACTCCCTCCGGTCCGGGTGTGTGTTTCAAAATAGTTTCAAAGATGGATAGGCAACGTGGCCTTGACCAGCTCCTCCTTTGTCAGCGTACGTGCGGTGACCGTGCTGTGCAACCAGCACCCGTCGTAGAACACATGGTTTTCCAGGCAAGCTTCTGGCTGGAACTGCTGGCCGGGGAGAGGGTTAGTTGTTCCAATGGCGGTGGCTGCAGAGTTGAAGTGTGTGGGGCCCTTAGTATTCAACTATGTCAGGCCCAGCAGCCTCTAAGGCAGTGCTTCTCAAACTGGGGGTCGAACGACCCTTTCACAGGGGTCGCCCGATTCATCACAGTAGCAAAATGACAGTGATGAAGTAGCAACGAAAATAATGTTACGGTTGGGGGTCACCACCACATGAGGAACTGTATGAAAGGGTCGCAGCATGAGGAAAGCTGAGAACCACTGCTCTAAGGTGTGCTCCACAGCGAACCCTCCACAGGTGCTAACCTTCCACAGCCTGTGAGCCTTCTTTGTACCTGTCCCGCCCAAACCCCCCTCCAACCAACCACCTCACCCCAGAGACTGTGATTTCCTCCCCAGGTGCCTCATTGCGTTCGTGGGCGTCTTCTTAATCACACGTAACAGGAAGAAGGCCGTTCCATTTGAGCCCTATATCTCCATGGATGCCATGCCAGGTAACGGTCAAACTCCATGTGCCCCACTGGCCAGCCCGTCCACGCAGACTGACTGATACTTCCTGTTGCCCAGCTGCCAGCCAACCCCGGGCTTGGTCCTGGGAAGGTGTGCGGTGCCGTCATGGTGTGACTTCCCTCACTGTGTTTGGTTTGTTTGTTTGTTTTTTTTTGGGGGGGGGGGTTATCTTGGTGTGTTGAGGAGGGGCTGTGACTGAGGCACCTGGTTGGCTTTGAGCACTTCCTGCCCATTCCCAAGTCTGTTTTAGGACTTTTAACAGAAAATCCTGATTCACCCTGGATGAAATCATGCCCCGCGGCACCAGGCTTCACGTCTGCAAAGAGCCAACCCACCCTTCTAGCCAGAATGGGATGCTCAGAGGGAAGGAAAACAGGATGGCTGGAATTCAGAATAGAACCTGGTACCTCAGATTCCACAAGGGAGAGGATTGTTCTCGAAAGCCAGTTTCCCTGGGTGAGAAGGTTCACACAGAGGGCCCAAACCCAACTGCCCTCAAACCCAGGCAGAGCTAGGAATGATGAAGCCCAGCAGGGAGCGAAGGACTTAGGGGAGGTGTCTGTGTGCCAGAGGGATTCAGATTTAGAAATAAAGGACAACAGCTGGCCCCTTTGAGGTCCGCTAGCCATAATGCTCTGGACCGCTACCTTTCCCCTCGACAACTCAAAATTAGCTTTTACCTTAAATATACAAGGGGGCACCCTCAAAAAACAGAATTGCACTGGGGCGTCTCCTGGGAAGGTTCTCTTTGGTCACAGTGAATTTTTACCTACAAGAAGTTTCACTCAAACCTCGTTTTTTTGTGATGGCCAATTTAAGAGAACAGCGTGTGTAGTATTAAATTAAATGGTGATGGGAGGGTGAGGGGCCTGCTACTACTTCTACCCATGGGTTCAGTAATGCAAATTGAGATATATAAATATTATATTAAAGTCATCGGGAGCATGAGAGATATTACAATAATGCAGTTAGACACATTACATGGTAGCATTGCTCACCTCAGCCCAGCTTGGTGGTCCACCTGGAGAGACGGGGAAGGGAAGGAAGGCAAGGAACCCAGGAGAGAGGAAAGAGAGGAGAGGGGGAAGAGAGGGGAGCCAGAGAGAGGTCAGAGAGAGAGAGGTCAGAGAGCTCTATATTGCTGACTCACGCCTATATACCTTTTGGGGGCATGCCAGCCCACTAATTACAGGTAGAGACATACATCACAGGGAGGGGCTGCACTATAGGTTACACGCAATGAGGGGGTGGTCTAGGGGATGGCCTCTGGGTCTCCATAGGGACCATTATCAGTAGAGTGAAAACTCAGCCTACAGGAGCCTGTCCATTGTCCCCAGAGGCAGGGAGCAGGCCCACCCCTGTGGTGGGATGAGACAGCAGTCTGGCAACTGATTTCCCTCAGGGGAGGGAGTGCCTGCGCATCTGACCTCCCCCCACAAGCGTGCAGCTATGAAATTTTGTTTCCTGTTCGGGAAAAATGCTGCAGAAACTGTTTTGTGATGTTGAACACAGTTTACTATGACATCGGTATGGAAAAAACTCAAGTGTACGAGTGGTTTTCTCATTTCCAAAAAAGGTGAAATGTCAATTGATGACAAACCTTGTTCTGGACGTCTGTCAACTTCCCAAGTGGACAAAAATGTTGATTCGTAGTGCATTTGGAGTTCATTCCACCAGGTCAGACTGTTAATCAAGCTTTCTATTTAGAGGTTCTGAAAAGATTGCATAAAAGTGTTTGACAAAAAGGCCTGATTTGTGGCAGACGGAGGACTGGTTTTGCCATCAAGACAATGCACCTGCTCATGCAGCCTTCTCAGTGCACCAGTTTGGGGCAAAAAACAGCATGCTCTTGCCCTGTGTACCTGACTCACCTGACCTCGCTCTGTACAACTTCGTTTTGTTTCCACAAATGAAGCAGGACATGGAAGGAGAGCAATGTGATGACATAATAGAGGTGAAGAAAAAACAAGGGAGGTGCTGTCAGCCATCCAAACAGATGATTTTGAAAAATGTTTCCAAGAATGGAATCGCAGAATTGACAAATGTATTCAGTGTAATGGAGAGTACTTTGAAGGTGATAAAGGTTGTTTTGTGAAAAAATTTAAATACATAGCTTTGAAAAAAATTCCGTTCCCCCCACCCCACCCCACCCCGGGTACCCCTCGTATAAGGTAGAACCCTTTCCAAAGCAGTGAGTCTTGCCCTCCACGCACACAGTCTAGTGGACAAACCTGAGCACAGTGATCCCTGGGGTCCTGCTTCCTAGAGGACAGGTTTCCAGCCCCTCGGGCGGTGCTTCTGATACAGGTTCTCAGAGCTGGCTGAGGTGCCCGGCATCAAACGGCTCCAGCGCTCACGTGTCTCCTTTTTGTTACCTCTTCATCTCTTGCTGTGAAGCTGTTGTCTGTCATTCTTGCTGTTAACCAGAGTGCCTGCTTCTATCAACTCCACGTCAGTCCTCTTATCTGGCCCAGCTTGTTAGATGTGTGCATAAAAATCGTCGTAAATGAGGTCTGCGTGGGTGCAAAGGTGCCCCCTGGGAGTCAAGTGCATGAGCTCTAGTGCATGGACTTGTTAAACCTCTAACCGGGCTGCTCAGATGCCTTTTTTGCTTACTTCCTTGTTTCTCGGCTGTGTTCCGGATAGATGAGGGCGCTGGATAGCTGAGTTCCAGATAGGTGAGGTGTCAACTCTGTGTGCAAGTGTGTGGTACCTGTACATGTATAGATGTGTCTGTGTGTTTATACAATATGTATGTGTGTACATATATATGTATGTGTACCTATTTGCCTATGCATACATAAAGGATGTGTTTGCTGGCGGGACGTAGAAGGTAACCGAAGGTAACTTAGAGGTCAGCATTCTGTAGTCTGTCTGTGGGTGTGGTGTGGTGCTCCGCTTTCTGTCGTAGCTTGTGACCAGTGGGGAAGTCAGATCTTGAAGAAAGGAGACCCCGCCCTCTTAGTGTGGCTCCTGAGACACCTGTGACTGAACAGGGGTTCTGTACTGGGACAAGCTTGGAATTGGCCTTCAGATAGACCTGGGTTCCAGTCCCAGCTCTACCTGCTACCCACTGTGCGACCTGGGGTACATACCAGGACCTCCCAAGGCCCCCGACCCTCACGTGGAAACGGGGTTTCCTTCGTGCAGGTGATGGGGAAGGGGAGGAGCTATGTGAAAAGGCTCCTTGCACTGTCTCTGGGACATGGTAGATGCCTGGCTAAATTTGGTTTTTAGATTTTAAAACCACGTGGAAATGTTCACACTCTGATGTGCCCCTGATGACAAGCGAGACGTGGACACTGGCCATGCTGGATAACCCAAACGGAAGCAGGCTTGCTTTTCGAGTCCCTCGGTGCTGGCCAGCCCCCTGGCCTTGCTCTAGGCCTCACAGCAGGAGGGGTCGGAGTCCCTGTCCACGTGGGATTCAAATTCCGAAATGCCACCGCTTGGAATTTGGAGATGCCTTATGTCACTCTAGCACCTGAAAGGCTCTTAAATAAGAAGAAGAAGAAGAAGAAAAGCAGCCCTCGGGCTGAGAGCTGGCCTGGCGCTGGCAGCTGGGTCTTGGCGTGCTTCACTTGGACCTATGCGAGCTCGCAGGTCACCAGCCTCAGGCAAGGCCACCGCGTGACTGTGAGGGAGGAACGGCTCAGAGAAGGCCCTCTGTAGCCGTGTCTAAACACAGACAGAACCCGGCCCAAGCCGCAAAGACGGCCAGCCACCCCCGGGTCCTGGTTGATGCAAGTGACAGCTGTTCCTTTACCACTCACTGTAGTCTCAGCACAGTCGACCTTCCTTCTGAACAAGATGCAGTCAGATCCCCCAATTAGAGAATCGTCACCATGTCCTGACAACATCTAAGTTTTTGAAGAAGGCCTCACTTCCTTGAACCCTCTCCATGATCAACTTACCCAAATCCTATGCTGGGCTCCTCAACACCTTCTCTGTGGAGCCCCACAGCTGTCTAGAGCAGCCCCCAGATATGAGAGCAGAACTCTGCTCCATAAAGTTCCCAATAGTTGATTTTTTTCCAGAAGTAGATGACCAGACCTCTCTTCTGAGACACGTCTGTGTATACATAAACCTCTAGCCTCGTGGTTAGACAAGGTAATGGATTGCTCTGTCTACCCAGAGACTCCAGACCTTAAATCATGCCCTTCAAATGCCCATGGATAGGCCTGTGCAAGATGGAGGCAAAGGTTCTTCCAGTAACAGGGCATCCCTAAGCCAGTTACAGACTGGATGAGGGTCTGGGCATCAGATCCCAGCGCTGGATCTCATTAGCTGTGTGACCTTGGGCAGTTGACTTCACCTCTCTGTTTTCTTATCCAGAGAACGAGGATAGTAGAACATCTGTGATGGGCTTGTTCGGGGATTCAATGTAGGGATGTCATCCAGTTAAAAGTCTGGACACTGGCCTTTAAACCACCACAATTTTAGCCTTGGCTCTGGCACTTTCTAGCTGTATGACCTTGCTCCCCCCCAAAATAAAAAATTCCACCCACAGACTTTTCAACCCACCAACCAACCAGTTCCCATCCAATAGACTCAACTCATGGCAGTTCTGCGTTCCATGTCTCCGAATAGGGCTGGGCCCCATGGGGTTTTCAAAAGTGCTGACCTTTCGGGAGCAGATCACCTGGTCTTGCTTCCAAGATACCTCTGAGTGGGTTTGAACTGCTAACCTTTCAGTTTGTAGCCTAGTGCTTAACTGATTGGGCCACCCAGGGACTCCTCATTAACCACCTCCCTTTTCTCATTGGTTGGCATGAAGACCAAATAAGATAAAACTATACAATGCTTAGAGCCGTGCTCACACCAACGAAACACTCTGTTCACTGTTCACGTTGCCCATTATTCTTGCTGTTGTTGTTATTACTGTGATTAATTAAAGTGCTTCCTCCAGCGCCTAGGGCACGTAAGCAGTCAAATGTCAAAGGCATTTTGCTTGCAATTTCTCCTAACTCAGCCTGGGGACAGAGGAATCTGAAAGGTCTTCATCCCAAGCAGGAAAAGAGTTGCCCTCCGAGCTAACTAGGTCCCCCACTTGACATAGGGGGAGATGGGGAACTGTAGACAGGCTAAATGAATTAAAAATAAAAGTCATTGCCCTCCAGTGAAGCACTGAAATACTCAGACGTAAAAACCACACTCACACAGTAGGGTAACAGTGGATTGTCTGTGGGGTACAGCCCTTTGGTTTTAATGCTTCTTCAACAATAAAACTTGGCTTTAAAATCTCACCTTACCCTCTCCGGGGGCCAGGAGTGTTCATGTTAAAGGAGCATCATGATGCATCTATCGTAGTCATGTGGCCCGACTCCCAGGTACCCTCTTTTCTCAACAGTACAATGAGGTTTTGCCTGGGTCCTGCCTGAATTCAACAGCAAAGTGTTGGCATCTACCACGTCCAAGGCACAGCCTCAAGTCAACGCCATCTCTGGCCCAACCAGATACCGTCACCACATTGTAGGCCAACCGATGGCTTCTCTTGATGAGGGGTGGGAGGGGGCTGGTCTGTGTGTCTATTTCCTGAACATTCATCCTTGTTGCTTAGCAACTAATATTTTGGGTGTATATTTATGGATGTTCTCTTTCCAATCTAAAGCACTCAGGAAATTGACAATGCACATGATTAGCTCCTGAGCACTATAATCAGTCTGTGGCGGGATAGGGGAAGACGCCCCCCCCACACCTGGCCCCCTCACCACATAATCATGTGGGGAAACTGGATTTCATTTCAGGTATGCAGAACATGCATGACAAGGGGATGGCGGTTCAGCCCGACCTCAAAGCGTCTTTTTCCTACGGGGCCCTGGAAAACAACGACAGCATCTCTGAGATCTATGCTCCTGCCACCCTGCCCGTCATGCAAGAAGAGCACGGCTCCCGGAGTGCCTCCGGGGCGCCCTACCGGGTCCTGCAGCACACCAAGAAGGACTGAGCCTGGCGCAGCAGCCGCGTCTCCCTGCGCTGCAGGACTTGCCTCGCCTGTCTGGTTTTTCTGTTTGTTTTGTTTGGAAACGGGAACTCTACACCAGGGATCTTGGACGGCCTTTGTCTCTGGCACAGGAAACTTTCCTCTTGGTCTTGAACATTTCAAATGGGGAGGAGGAGATCCGGGCCCTGGGTGGGTGGCACAGAACCCAGCCTCCTTGAGGAGGGCTAACCGAGCTGCCCCAGCCAGTGACCAAAGGCTGCCACATCCTTGCGCCCATCTTTCGGATCCAGCAAAAAGGCTGGGGACCTCAGTCTCGTCTTCCTCCACCACGACAGTGGGCGTGGCCCAGCCCACAGTCACCGTCTCGCATCTGTGACCACACTCTGCAGCCTCCGAAGCGGGCCAGCCCTGGGGCAGCACTCTGCAGCCCTGGGGCAGCCACGCGCTGCACGTCGGAAATGCATCCGAGGTGAAATTCCGCCTCCCTGCAGTCTGCCCTTCCAGACTCTTCCAAGCTGTGCTGACTTGATGCGTCCGCGTGGGCTCTGCTCTGAAAACAAATTTGCTTTTGGTTCTGGGAACTACTTGAATCTTCCCCACCCACGCCCCTCCCGCCCCCAAGAACAGGGAGGTCTCCAGAGCCAGAGCAGATCCTTGAAAGAGGTGACTGCGCGTCTTAGAGAAGGACGGCAGACCCTGCTCTTTCCAGGGTCACTGTTTTTCCTGCTTAGAGGCAGCCTCAGCCCTCTCTACGCTTTCCCCCGGTGAACACACCCAGCCTGAACGGTTCCTTTCCTTAAATCAGTAGAGAGTCTTTGGGTTCTCAGCCCCGTGCACCCTACAAGGGGGCCTCAAAAGCCCAAGGGAAAATGGCATTAAAAGATCATGGAATTTTCCCACCAACCTTGTTAAGTACCCTCTTATGTCTGTGTAAGCAACCCTTCTCCATCCTCGGGCTGCAGAAATCAGAATTCCTTCTGACTGCATCCAGGATGGGTCTTTAGACTGCCTGCTTCTAAACTTTAATGAACATAAAGATCCCTCGGGTGTTGGTTTAAAATGCTGATTCCCTTGTCCGAGTGCTGGGCCTGGGGAGGGGGCTTAGAGAGCAGGAGAGTCTGCTGTAGTTTGGGGATCCAGCAAGGAAAACCCCTGGAAAGCCGGAATTTCCTCTCTCGGGCTGCTTTGCCTCGCTCCCCCAGTCCCCTATGACCCATCCCGGTGTCTACTACCTAGACGCACACTTGCTGCTTCCCCAGGCAGCCTTTAACAAACAGGCCAGACAACAGTGTTACTAGACCAGTGTTGAAAATCGGTCATTCATCTTAGCGGATTGATTGTGCTTCGTACCAATTTAGTAGCTTGACTTCCCCAAAGCCCGTTGCCTGTGGTAAGTGAACACCATTGTACCATTTCTGTGTTGTGTCCAATAGAGCCAAGACGTCAACAAGCAGTGAGCTTTTTCCCATAGGCCCGACACTGATTGCATGCAACGAGACTTGGGAGCCATTTGCTCTGTGCTGAAGCACTGGGAGGGTGAAGACGATGCAGAGCAAGCTCCAGGGCCGGCCCTCCCAGCCAACAGGGGGAGACACAGCACCCAGAGCAAGCTCCAGGGCCAGCAGGGGGAGACCGCACCCAGCAAGCTCTAGGGCCGGCCCTCACGGCCAGCAGGGGGAGACACAGCACCCGCCACGCCGTGGGCAAGTGTGAAATGCAATGGCTGACTGCAGAAGTGGATAGTTCAGGAGACCCTGGTGCGGCCACAGAGTGTTTAGACAAGAATATGCCCTGGCAGAAGAGCTTTGCGAGGAAAGAGCCAGGCCAGGTGCGGGAGGTGAACCTGGACAGATACCCAGAGGCATTAAGATCAGGTTTTCACAGCTATTTCGAGTTTCCTTATTTCCCAAGTGATTTTCGTGAGGCCAGAAGTTCGGGCAGAGTGGGTGAAGGGAAGACAAGCAGGGAGGCCACTGAAAGGTGTCAAACCCAGGTGAGCAATCATTTTTAACATGACGCCCTCCCACGCTTCCTCTGCCGCCAATCCCTCTCTTGGTAAGCCTCTGAGAGTCCAGCCAGCTCTCCGGAGGAAAAGATAAAAATGCTTTGCAATTTGGGAGCTGCCACCACAGCCAAGGGATGCTGTTGTCCGGGAACCCCTGCTGGGGCCTGGGTAGCCCTGCGCCTTCTGGCATTGTCCTGTGAAGCGGCGCTTGCGGAGGGCTGAGCCGAAAGTTGCCTGGTGGCTTCCACTCAGGAGAAAGTCACTTGGGCTCTTAGGAAGAGTTAGTCACCTGGAGCCATTGTTTCCAGAGTTCGGGGTCTCTCTTGGGCTAGCTGACTGGGTCTTTGTCCCCCAAATGGGCAGTTTGCTGGTAATAAGCAGTACTGCTGTGAGGGTGGGCCAGGGGCAGTCGCCTTCCCACCATCTGATGCTTTCTGCTTTTCTCCTGTTTCTGACAGCCCTGAGCCCTATGGAGTGCCCCAGGCTGCATCAAAAACTACGCTAACATGAGGTCACCAGACGTGGGTCTAAACCTCCCAGTGTTCACTCTCCTCCCTCGCCCCCTCTGTTCACCTGTTCTGAAGGGCAGGACACTAGGTCTCCAGATGAGAAGTTAGAGCCAGCTCTTCTCGTGGCCATGAAGCCATGCCTGACGATGCTGTCACACTAAGTTCAGGTCAGCCTTGGAGTCTGGCACGTGGAGCCCACTGCTGGGGAGTGCCCTAGCCTTTGGTTCTCTGGTAGAAATCAGCCGACCTGATGGCTTCATGCAGATCTGATGTCCACCAGGTAGAGGCTGGGAGCCCTGCCCTGCAGCCTGTGAATTCCAAATCTGGCCCAACACTGCCCAGTAGGCAATGAAAACTTACTTTCATTTCTCTGAGCTGTCCAAATGAAGTCACCTTAGAATATTCTATGTGGATGCTTGCGTTTTGTCTACATTGTAACTAATGTGGCATGTCTTACTTTTCAAAACACGTGTGTACTAGGTGCAAATAACATTATGAAGTGGTATTTAATTAAAAAACAAACAAAAAACCTTCCATTATCTATGGAGTTTGAATCTTGTTGGAGCTAAGAAGTGGTGCCTAACAATAGATGTCTCTCTGGGCACGGAGATGCTCCGTGTTTGCTGCCCAGTGCGTCCCCACACCCGCCTCTCAAGCCCTTGAAGTGTGACTGAGTTTTTCATTTGATTTGATTTTCGTTTGAATATCCACGTGTCGCTAGTGCAGGAGTGGGGAATGTCCAGCTTGTGGACCATATATTCAGGCCCTCAAAATCCTCAAGACCAGCTAACATCACAGACCTCAGCAGAGATACGCGTTTCCGGCCATCACATTAGGGGTGAGTTTGACCAAATAGAGCAGGTTAGTTGTTTAGTTGATCATTTCGTACGGCCTGAGAATGATGCTATAAGTATCCAAATGGCCCTCAGCAGAAGAAAGGTTCCCCGTCCCACACCCCCACCCCTGAGCTAGGGACTGCTGCATTATCCCTGCAGATCTGCAGACCCCTGTGGTCACCATAGAGGCTGCTCGGAGGCCCTTTTCTGCAGCCACAGAGCACGGGCTAGAATGCTTCCGTTGAGTCCCTGGCTCCCCGTGTACGAGCTGCTGTGCCACGTTCCTTAGGCCCCATCTGCACGTCTGTGAGACAGGAGCGCAGCGGATCTGCCTCAGGAGTGCTGTGACTCCAACAATACAGAGTCTTGTCCAGAATCCCATCAGACATTATGAGAGGGCTGCAAAAAGTTCATGGGACAATTCCGTGACTTTTTCATTCAACTTTTCCTTAAACTTTTGAAGCCCCCTCATATTTTGTTGAAGCAATAGCTCTCCACTTTATTCTCTTATTACTTCTTAGTCCTATAATGAACATTTGTGATTTTTCTTCATTGTGCAGTTCTAAGTTTCCAAACTATAAAGACGGTGTGGTCTAGTGTCTCTATTCATGTTCATATAAACATCTATAGCTATGTTAAATATATAGATGTGTTTTATGTATTACTATGCTAGGAGCCCTGGTGGCATAGTAGGTCAGTCGTTGGCCTGTTAATCACAAGGTCAACAGTTCAAAACCACTAGCTACTTCTCAGGAGACAGATGAGGTTTTCTACTCCCATTAAGAGTGACAGTCTGTAAAGCCCAGAGGGGCAATTCTACCCTGTCCTACAGAGCCTCTGTGAGCAGCCTCAGAGGACAGGGTAGAATCAACTCAATGGCAGTCAGTTAGTATATTCATATATTTAATTTATGTAAAGTAAATGTTCATTATTTCATTTTTACAACTTAATATAATTTATTTTCTATCAGTATTTTCTATGTGTAAATACAAGGGTGCTTCAAAAAGTTCATGGACAAATATAATTAGAAGAGAATGAGATTTTTTTCACAAACATTTTGAAGCCTCTCATGACCAAATGTACCAAACCCAAATCTAACAGGTATTGAGTCCATTCTGACTCAGAGACCCTGCAGGACAGGGTAGAACCGCCTCTGTGGGTTTCCAAGACTGACTCTTCACAGCAGTAGAAAGCCTCACCATTCTTCCAAAGAGTGGCTGGTGTTTTCGAACGGCTGACCTTGTGGTTAGCAGCCTGACATATAACCACTACACCACCAGGGCTTCTAACTAAATACATACACACACACACACACACACACATGCACACTACTATATACACACTCATACACATGCATTTGTTGAGGACTTACTGTATACATGCTATGTCATGTATGCTTCATTCCTCCTTGAGATCAAGTCCATGAGCGAGTTTCCTTAACAGTAGCCCCATTTCAAAGATAAGGAATCTGAGACATGTGGGTCATTGAGCTGGTAAACACAGAGCCAAGATTTGAGCCCGAGATTGCATGGCTCCAAAACTCAAGCTTGTTGCTCTTCTGCCGTGCCGCCTTTCTTAACTGGGGGAATGGGATTCCAGTGGGGAGATGGCTTCGCTAACCAGACAAAGGAACAACATTCCGTCTATCCTAGAGCTCAGGGAGGAAGCTTCATGATCATCCCTCATTGAGTCTCTGACTTTATCAAATCACGAAACAGTAAAACTTAAAAACCCAATGCATGCTACAA